ATGCTGGCTGGGCTCCCGGGGGCTGGGCCGAGCACACCTGCTTGCAGCCCGGCAGAAAATCACGCAGCCCACTGAAGACAGGCACAGCATCAGGTTTTGAAGTTTGTCTTTTTAATAAAAAGGCACCTATAAAACAGGTCAATACATTACAGGCAGCACAGATACCCAAAAACAATCACATATTGTATTTATATATTTATATTTATATATATATTTATATAATGGTACAAAATGACTGGGGAAGTTTCTCCATGGGATGACAGAGAACAGGTCAGTCACCATTACCTCAACGTGAAAGCTAATTCCGGGTGTGTGATTATCTGACGTACTGAAAGATGCGGTTTCCCAGTGTTCGCTTTTCTGGAGCTGGAAAAACACGGCGAAGTCATGGCTAAAACATAGGCAAACCTTCTAGCGTGATTAGGTGGAGTCAGTACACAGAACTCAAGCTGAGAAGCCGAGCAACAAACCACAAGACACGAGACTAGACACAGCTCACGGCAGTGGGCAACCGGCTGATGGCAAACCCTGCCCGGGTCTAAGAAGGATTGGCTGTTGCTGAGCTTCCAGAGAAGCTGGCTCCCGGGCGGTGGGATTTTGCGGAAGCGTGCCAGCTGCTGCTCCGAAGGCCCCAGCTCCGAGCTAGCGTCAGGATTTCCCTTTTGCATCCAGGGGTGCCGAGTCAGAAGGCTTTGCTTCTTAATCATCTGTCACCAAAGGACAGGTCTTCCTCCCGCCGCCAGGTAGACATAGCATCGTGCTGCCCTGTCCCTGCGAGCAGGCAGCACCAGGCTCCCGGGCACTGCACAGCGCTGCACCGCAGCCTGTGGGCTCCGGCTGACACAGCGACAACGTGCTGCCGACAGAGCGAGGACCGCAAGCCCCAGGCAACGTCTCAGTCGGGCTGGGCAAACGGGACAACAGGGAAGTACGTACGGCCACCTGGAGATCTCAACCAGGCTAAACCAACAGCTGTCTACAGACAAACAAACAAACTTCCACATAGAAAATATTATGGCTTCAAATTAACTGAGACTAGCTGGTGGCCGATGAGCGAGGTTTGGGGCTGGCATCGGTGTTGGGACGCTTACGAGAAACTACCAGTAGCCGACACCCCGAAGTGCAGCCAAGAGAAGCCACAGCCTTTCAGGCACGTCAAGCTTAGAGCTACATCTGCTCGAGCCACGTCCTCCACGTGGAACGCACACTCTGAAAGGATGGAGAGTCCAACCAGCTAACACATCAGATCTGAAGCACGCTTCGTTAGCCTGGCCTGAATATTATTCCTCTGCTCTAACTGCCAAGGCAGGGATGAGCACTTCCTGGGATCGCTCCCATTTTGCCATCTCCAAAAATGCTGCTCGCTCACATCATACATCGTACACAACAAAACCACACAAAGCAGGAGACCAGAGCAAAATCCTTCCTCGCATGCAGACCCATGCTTCCCGCCCAGTACTGCTTGCTACTAAGCACCCCGAGGCTTCACGGTATTCCTAAGTGGGCTTTGTGGCTCCGTCTTCTTACAGATTGAATCGAGACAGCCGCTGGGCTGACATCTCAGCACCCGCCAGCCTTTCTGAACAGCTGGCAACACGATAACACGCTACTTGACAATCTCCCTTTCCGAAAGCCCTTTCCTCCCTGCAGTAGCAAGCGGGGAAAGGTGAGCTCCATTGCAAGCGAGGTAGTCTGCTAAGTCGGGCTCCACAGAGATAATCCTCCAGCCGGTGTTCCTCGGGCAATCGCGTGCCCGAGTTCACCGCTGGATACCCGCAGGGTACACCATGCTGGAACACAGTGGTCCCCGCGGAAGTCCAGAGCTACTGCGGTACGTGCGCAAGCGCATGTGCGTCACCCCACAGCCCCCTCCGTGAACAAACACGGGAAAGACCATCAGTGCTGCGTGCAGGAAGACCTTACGGAGTAGACGACAGGGAGGGTGGAACGCATCCAGAAAAGCTGGAGCTATTTGAACGACACGCTTCTGCCAGCCTAGGAACGAGTGGCTGCAATGCAACCTCGGCCTCCTCTGTCCGAAGCACAGGATGGCCACACCGCTGACACCACACAAGACAACTCTTCTACTGGGATAGAGCATCGCGTGCTGGGATGGGTCATCTTCAGCGGCTGGACCTCTATCGTGCAGTAGGGCAGGGCTACTGCCGGCAGCTCAGGGCGAGACGGAGCGAAGACCTCCTGTGAAACTCTGGAGGAGGACCGACAAGCATGAGGAAGACCTGGGAGAGTACTCAACAGCAGAGGTAGAGCGGGCACGGTGCAGTTGTGGAGGGCGATGGATGGGTAAAGGGCTGGTGTAGGGAGGCCGCGCAAGAGCAAGGTTCCCAGCTAGCCTCTCCCGGAAGCACGGGAACGCATCGCCTCTCTTGTCTTGGAGCCCATCTCTCCCTACAGACCGCACCACCCTGCCCACAGCGGACACAGCGTGAAGAGCAGAGAAGGGACTAGAGCTGACATGGCCGGTCGAGACCTTCGGGTCCAGCACGTTACCATCTGCGAAGCCCACATCCAGGCAGCTTCTCCAGCCGAAGGGCCGGCATCCTCCCCATCGCAGCGACGGCCGCGTCCCGTGCAGCTGCGGACTCTGCCCTGCCAGCTGAGCACCACTCCGGCAGCGTTTCACCGGGGCCACAGCTCTGTCCTCCCCGACGGTCCTCGGGCGTTGGTGGCGTTCGCGTACTCAGCACAGCCTCCACAGGGGCCCGAGATCTGCGTGAAACTATACGCCCCGCACACGCAAGCCGTTCAGACGCGTCAGCAACACGAGTTTGACACAGAGTCACTCTCCAATGGGATCTCTCAATGCCCTGTGCACCCTGGGGGATCCTCCTGCCTCCCCCGAGGAGAGTTTTCAATCCTTGTACACTGTTGCCTTTAGCATGTTTTTTTGCTTCTGTTCTTTTAAAACATGTTTTGAGGCTTCTATTAAAACACAGAAATACAGAACAATTAAAAACCAGCACAAGTTTTGCCTTTCCCAGCGACCTATTTACAGCTAGTTCCAAAAACCCTCTTGCACATTTTGGTTTCTTAAAAAAAAAAAAAAAAAAAAAAACAAAAGGGGAAAAAAAAAACAGGAAAAGAGAGAGAGGGGAAAAAGAGGGAAAGAAAAACACTTGACGGAGGAAAACCGTAAATGAAAACTTTGCAAACTGCCGCAGGGTCTGGACATCCCTGGTCACCACGCAGGGTTCAAAGCCACAGCCCTGCTCCCAGCCCCTCCACCCTCCCCCTCCCCCAAAAAGAAAGGAAAAAGAAACCCAATTCACATCAAGTTTACTGCACATCTGGTTTTCTCTGTAGAGGCGAATCCGATATGAAAAGCATCCCACGTGGTGTCCTCCCTCCACCGGCGTTGGCCCCCAACCCTCCCCCAAAGAAAGGTTTAAAAACGTTTGCACAGGCAGCCCGGTGCCCTCCCCGCCCCGAGCGCCAGCCGGGGTTAGAAAGGCAGGTTCGCCATGTTCCCAGGCCCAGGGATGTAACTCATCTGGCTGTCCAGGGAGACACTCCTCTGCCTCATCTGGTGCGTGACCATGAGGTTCTGCTGAGGCGGGGGCCCCATGAGAGAGCCCTGAGGCGACATCATGTGTCCCGTCTGCGCGTACATCTCCCCCGACACAGACATGCTCCTCTGCTTGGCCTGCATCAGCATGAAGTTCTGCTGGGCCATCAGGCTCTGCTGTGGAGACATCATGCCCTGGTGCATGCTGTTGCCCATCATGCCTTGCTGGGGCGGTATGCCTGTCCTGCCCAGCATGGGCACTTGTCCCGGATGGCACATGGGCATGCCGAGTCCCCTCTGCACGCCCTGCTGCCCGGGGAGGCTGGGGGCATTCATACCTGGCCGCGCCGGGGGCTGCTCAGCCATCATGTTCTGCAGGTTCATGAGGTGGAGGTTGGAAGGCTGCGATTTGGGGGCTTGGCTGTCGCTCTTGGGGAAATACTGCAAGGTGCTGCTTGGCTTCTCCGACGGGATGATCCTGGACAGGTCAAACTCGGGGATGCCCGTGGGCGTGGGGCGGATGACCTCACTGAGCTCGGGGTCGTTCAGCACTGACGCTACCCCGGGAAGCACGGGCGGGTAGGGCTCGCCGATCCGCGGAGGGATGTTCTTGCCCCAGCGGGAGACGGCATGGCGCCGTGGGGCTGCTGCATACGGGGAAACACGAGCTGGTTGGAAGGAATCATCTGCGAACTGTTGGGCACGGGGCCGCACTGCTGGTTCAACGAGTCCTGGGGCCCCGGGGGCAGCATCATGGCGCTCTGGGGGGGCACGCCGGCCCCCGGCGGGTGCATAGGAATGTTGGAGCCCAGAGGGTTCGGCGATGACATCATGGAGGTGGGGGGCGGTTCATGGGAGAGGGGTTGCTGACCAGGCAGGTTCATTCCCATGGGGCTCTGAGAGGATCCAGGCCCCACGGAGTTCAAGTGCAGTTGATTCGTCTGATTCCCCGTCACGCCTAAGGAGAGGAAAAAGAGAAGAGTTCACTCTGCCCACAGACCTCTCAGGGCTGCAAAATTCACGCCCTGGCAGCCCGCCGAGCGCTCCTGCTCTGAAAGCCCGGAGCGGGACGCCCAGCA